CCTGCATCCTCGCCGCCCTCCCTGCAGGTCTCCCCGCGGGTCGCCTCCCGGGCACCCGGTGGCGGTTGCGGGCGGCGTGACGGGGCAGCTAGCGCGGTGCTGTGGCCGGCCGGCGCCTGGCGCGGGAACTATATATAATCGGCGGGCGGGGGAGGCTGCCTCGGCGGCTCCCAGTGCTCATGTACGAGGGGACGGCGGCCATCTCCGCGGGGCGCCGGGTGGACTGTGCACCTGGACCACTCTCGGAGGACGGCCCGCGCATTTTTGAAGCCCCACCAGGGCAGGGTTGCCCTCCCATTCTGCCGACAAGGAGCTGAGGCGATTCTCCCAAGGTCATACAGCAGAGGAGACTCACTCCTCCACAGCCCGAATTGCGCTGCAAGTGGCATAAATCTCTCCTGCCCCTGTCCTTGTAGGCCTGGAGGTCCCCAAAGGAGGGAACCCTGCCACCCCCACTCTCCAGCTGTAGGATGGCCTACAGGCCCTATGGGCTGCTCCCCGGTAGGCTCCTGGCAGCCTCTTGGTTTTGCACCAGGCTAGATCCAGTGGGGAAGGATGGGCAGAGCCCCTTGGCAGCTGGGGAGGTAGGCACTGGCATCCTGGGGACCCAGCCCTAGGCTGCCCCCCAGCCATTCAGGGCAGCCTGCTCTGGCTTGTCTCAGATTACAGAGGTAGTTTATCTTTGTGGCAGAAATTTTGAAACTAGGGAAGAGTAGTAAGGGGCACGGACTGACCACTGCTGCGGGGAGATCTCCCTAACTTGTGTGTCCTTAGAAGTGCTGGTTTACCAAGGTGGCAGGGCTGGGTGTTGCGGGCCCTTGTTTGTGTAGCTCACCCCATGACCAGGCCTGCCCTGCACCTGCCAGCTCAACTGTGCCCCTTGCCTGCAGCACTCTGCTTTGCTGTGACCCGCTCGCTGATGCTGACGTGCCTGGTGCCTGCTGGGCTGCTGGCCCTGCGCTATTACTACAGCCGCAAGGTGATCCTGGCCTACCTGGAGTGTGCGCTGCACACAGACATGGCCGACATCGAACAGTACTACATGAAGCCACCTGGTGAGTCGTGTGGTCTGCAGCTGCCCTTGGCCCCTCCTTCTGGCAGAGCTGCCCTTACCCCCAGCATCTGTGGGCCAGGGCCAGGCACAGATGGGCCTGGGCTGGGGGTTCCTGTTGACCTGAGACTGCTGAGTGACTGAGGCCTTGCCAGTGGTGGGGGTTCCAGTGGACTGTGAGAAGCAGAGCTGAGTCCTCCCCCTGGGTGGCTTGAGCTGACTCTGGACCAGGGTGGCCTGACTCTGCTACTCTAGCTGGCACCTGCTTGGTGGGGGGCAAGATCCTGGCTGTCCTACCTTGCTGGACCCTGTGCTGGCCTGGAGTGCAGGGGCCCTGGGTGGAGGGAACCCATGTGGCAGGGAGAAAGGACACCTGGACATGCTGTAGCAAAGGATACTCCAGGGAACAGAGGACCAGGGCAGGGATCCTGGCCTTAGCCTTGGCCTCCATTTATGGCGTGGATTTGGGGCCACTTAGTGAACAGGAGGGTCTTGTTCAAGCCACTGTGGCCTTCTGTGGTGGGAGGGGCTGGGAGTCCAGTCTAGAGAGATTTGGGGCTACTCTTCCCCCAGGCTGGCCCTGAGGCAGGCTGGGTCCTGGGAGCCAGAGGAAAGAGGCCTTTGGCCCTTTGGGGCCTGCATACCTCCCAGGTGCTAGGGTGTCTCTGGGCTGAGGAGAGGGGCACTGACCAGCAGGAGCTGGGTCAGTGCTGGGCAGTGGCAGTCCACTCCAGACAGTGCCAACTGCTGCTGTTGCTGGCGTGGGCTGAGTTGCCCCATCCTGGCCCTGCCCACCTGGCCATGGCCCCTGCCAATCTCCTGACTCTTTCCCATAGCACCAGTTCTCTGTGTGGAGCCCTCACCTGGCCCTGCATGGAGGGAAGGGGGCACCAGCAGGAGGGGTTCAGGGAGGGGCATGGGGGTAGCTGTGGTTGCTGCTGATGTGCAGGCTGGGAGCAGAGATGAGCAGGCCAGCTATTCCTGAGGCCTGGCCACAGTCATCTGAGGCCATTAGGTCTGGGAGCAGGGGCCTGCTTGGCTGAGTCTGCCCAGGTCTTGATCCCAGGGGAGGTACTTGGGCCTCCGACGGCCACCCTCGCTAGGGCAGCCCCGTCTTAAGAGCTGAGTGTGTCTGGGCTGCAGCATCAGGTCAGGCCGCAGAGAGCAGGCCGGCTGGGCCTGACCAAGGGCATCTGGAGGAGACAGCTGCACCTGCTTGTCCAGCACTGTACTGCCCCTTGGGTCCAGAAGAGCTGGGAGATGGGCCACAGGGGCTGAGTCTCCCTGGCTTGGCACCCTTGAGTCCTCCCCAGTCTTCCTTGGAGTATCCCTGACCATCTTGTCCTCTGCAGGCTCCTGCTTCTGGGTGGCCGTTCTGGATGGCAACGTGGTGGGCATTGTGGCTGCACGGGCCCACGAGGAGGACAACACAGTGGAGCTGCTGCGGATGTCTGTGGACTCGCGCTTCCGTGGCAAGGGCATCGCCAAGGCGCTGGGCCGGAAGGTGCTCGAGTTTGCAGTGTTGCACAACTACTCCGCGGTGGTGTTGGGCACCACAGCCGTCAAGGTGGCTGCCCACAAGCTCTATGAGTCGCTGGGCTTCAGACACATGGGTGCAAGTGACCACTACGTGCTGCCTGGCATGACCCTCTCGCTGGCCGAGCGCCTCTTCTTCCAGGTCCGCTACCACCGCTACCGCCTGCAGCTGCGCGAGGAGTGACCGCAACCGCCCACCCGCCCGCCACCCCGTTCACCCCGTCCACCTGTGCCCGCTGCCCGCCGCCTGGTGCGGCCCTGCTTTCAGACGCTCACCTTGGCATCTGTGTTGGGTTTTCCTTTCTCAGCGTCTCGTAGTTATCTGGCTGGTTCTGGGGGCCTTGGGGCTGTTGCTCATCCGTGACACTTTGGTGGGGTGGGTTATCTGCAGCCATGGCCCCTTGTCCTCCCCAGCCTGTCAGGGTGACTTGCCACTCCTTGAAGAGTGGCATCATGGACCACCTAGACTGTCCACCCAGCTGCCTAGCCTGCCTCCGTCAGGGAAGGCCTGGCCTTGCCCACCAAGCACAGAACCTCTGCAGCAAAGCCCCCCAAGGAGCAGCCTCCTGGCCCCTAACCAAGCTATGGCTCAGCTTCCAGTCCCTGGAGTGTGGTCTGCTGGGCCGGCTGGCCGCTGCCCCATAGGAAGCAGAGCTGAATGCGGCCCTGCTTTGCTCTGTGCATGCTGAGGACGTGGCCTGGCCGCAGCATGCCGCATGCCACAGCCCCCTGCCCTGCTGCCCTGCCCAGACTGGACCCCAGGACCGAAGCTGGTGAGCACCCTTGTCCTGGTCTGAGCTTGCCTCCAGGGGGGCCTGTCCTCTGCCCACCCTGCCTGCTCTCTGGTGGGCCTGGACTGCCCCCACCATCCTGCTCCATCCACCCTGCTTTGCTTTGACATCATCTCAGTCTCGCTCCCGTAGATCCATGTGCCCCTCTCCCTGGCTTGGCTGACTTGGTGGGCACCAGGCGTGGTTCCTGTAGCAACCCACTGCACAGTGTGGCAGGGGTTGGTGGGGGGACACCTCTCCCCCAGTGCCTGCTAGATCAGGTGGCCTCTCCCAGCTGCCTGAGGCCCTCCTGCCTCAGCTGTCCACCAGGGTCTGCCCTGTGAATCTTATAGCCCAGGCTGCTGCCGGCAATACCCAGCCACAGCTTCTCCCAGCCTGAAACCAACCCGTTTTCTAATAAGTTACTTAGACAGAATAGCACTCTGCATGACTTTAATTCTTGGGACAAATGGTAGCTTGTACCTTCAGACACACGTCCGTGTGGTGCTAGCACATGCACTATTTCTGGCCCCGTTGGATGGGGGTGGGTGGCCGGGTCGATGGAGGCTTCCATGGTTTGAAATTTGGAGGGAGACTCTAATTTAATGTGATTTCCCCCTAAAGACCATTCCTGGTGGTGAGGAGGGTCCAGGCTGCCCCTTCAGCCCTGGCATGCAGGATTGAGGGGCAGGGTGAGCCCCTCAGCCTCAGGAGGAGGAGCTGGGCGCTGCACGAGGAGCGGTGGGTCCTGGGGCCAGGTGAGGTTCCATTTGGGGACTGGCCCAGTGGGGTTGGCCTGGGATGGGGGAGAAAGGTGGTTACTGGAAGTGCCTCTGTGGCAGCCTGGACCAGCTCTGGTGGCGAGAGGGGTATAAAGGCCCACTCAGACCTCTATGGGGTTGGAGGGGGAGGAGGAGTGGCAGTGGGGCAGGCTGCAGAGCTAGGTCCCAAGGCCATGTTCTTAGAAATGGATGGATGGACATCCCGAGGAGCCTTTTGTCCTGTTAGCAATTGAGGCATTTGCAGAACACTGTACAGACCCCGATCTCCCCTGTACATTCCTCCCTGGTGGCGCCCGGTCCCCACTCGGGGATGGGAGTTTTGTAGACTGTACAGAAATCGGCCCCTATTTTCTTGCAGCTCTCAGATTTTGTTAACCTGGATTATACAGACAGACGTAAAGTGTTTTAGCAAAATGGAAAACAAACAGTCGTGCCTTTTCCTCTTTCTGTTTGGTCTGGTTGCTGGGGCTGGTCTTGGGCTGGTCTTACGGGGGCGTTTGGGGCTGCTGGCTGGTCTGAGACCTGGGGCACAGGAGGCAGGATGTGGTGGAGTCAGTATGTGGTTGGTGGGCAGCTCCGCCTGCTTCTCCTGTCCTGTGCCTTGGGAGCCTGCAGTCTTTGGGGTCAGGGCACGGGATGGGGGTGCTAGGGCTCTCCCAGGCCAGGGCAGAGCCTGGGGACTGGGGCAGCCAGTGTCTCCTTGGTGGTGAGTTGGGTGAGCTCACAGCCCTCTCCCACTCCAGAGGGTCCTGGGGGAGGGATGTGTCCTCCTCACCTGGTGGCCCCAGGCTTGCTGAGGGAACGTCTTCCTGGCTGTACTGCCCAGTGGGTGCAGGGACGCTTTATGGGCTCTTGCCTGTTCTGTGCTGCCCTGTGTTGCTGCCAGGACTTGGGAGAGATGCAGCAGGAGGAGGGCAAGCTCAGGCTGCACCTGGGACAGAGCCCCCCCATCAGGCCACTGCAGCTCCGCAGGTCTGGAAGGCTGTGGGCAGGTTTCCTGCCCCTCCAGGCTGGAGGCTGGGCCTCTCCCCACCTGCCTTATCCCTCCAGCCTGAGCAGTGACTGCTCCGCCAATGTGCACTGACATGAATTTTATATGTTCGTAGAGATTCTGATGTATCTTCTACCTCTGTGGAGGCCCTCCTGGGCCTGGCTGCCATGTGTCCAGTGTGGCTCCCCTGAGTTTGCTGGCCTGCTGTCCTCCTCCTCTAGGCCTTGCCCACCTTAGGTGGCTGGCACCCATGTTCCTGGCCTGGAAAGGCCTGGGGAAGGCTAACATGCCTTTGGCCATTCCCACAGGAAGGCCCTGTGCTCAGGGTCTGGATACTTGGAATTTCTGTTGTGTGTTTGGAAGACTGGTTTAGAGTAGGGAGGGTGAAGGGTAAAAGTAGAATGTTCCAGGACATCAGCATTAGACAAACCTATGGTGTGCAGCAGCTCCCTCTGCCCAGGCACACATGTGCAGACAGGTAGCCCCTAAGGTGGGTGACCAGGCAATCATTTCACCCACATGTGCCTCAGCACATGGGGGTCTGAGTGTGAGGGCTGGAGCCTTCGCAGCCATCGTGGCCTACCCTCCTGTCCCCCCTCCCCCCATGCCCAGTTTGGGTTTCTGCTGCACCACCCTGGGCACGGCAGCAGCTGTGATACTACCTCTGACTGGAGAAGCTGAGGAATAGGGCCAGCCTGATCTGAGAGGGTAGACAGCTGGCTCTGGGAGAGGGTTCTGGCTGGGAGGTCTTGTGGACAGCAAGTCTGAAGCTATAAGGTCCTGGGGCAGCCCCTGGTACCCTTCCTCAGGCAAGGCAACATGAGTCCACAGGCCTTAGAAGGGATGGGGCTGGGGACACCCTGAGGTGAGCTTCGTGGGCAGTCTGCCAGGTGCCTAGGAAGCTCTCTGAGCCATAGGGGTCGTCTCTAGCCTGTAGGGGGCACACTGCCCCTGCCCTGCCTGCCTCTCCTCAGTGGCCCCAAGTTCTCAAATCCATGGGACTGGATCACAAGGCTGTGTCTGGGGCCAGAGTCCTGGGAATGTGGGTTTCTGGGCGTTGCTAGGGCATGGGACTTCTTGGGGACTGAAGGAGGCTGCCCAGCCAGGCAATGGACTGTGTGGGCACCTTCCTGTTGGTGCCTGGGGAGCCGCTGCCTCTGGCTGCCGTGGCCCCTGTTGCTGATCCTGTCTGCTCCCTGCTGACTTGCTGTGTCTGTTGGAGGTGGCTCCTGGGGGTCAGTTCTGGTCTCGGGCCATGTTCTTGCAGGTGACTCCTGGGACAAAAATGTCAGGGATGAGCTGAGGCCAGGTGTGGAGCAGACCCTGGAGCGCACTGTTCCTTGACGCTGCCATCTCTGCTCCCAGTGGTGACATGTCCACAGAGCTACCCTGGCCTGGGTGAGGATGAGCCCTGACATACCATTGTTGGATGTATTTAAAAAAAAAAACACAGCAATAATTAGCCATTTTAAAGGAGTGTACCTGTGTATGTAAACGTGCATTCCTGTCTTTGTGCATGTGCGCTTATGTATGTGTGAGCATGTGCATGAGTGTGTGTGTGCAAGCACACACAGGAGTGTATGGGTACATGTGTATTGTATATATGGGAGCATGTGTGTTCAGGAGTATCTCTGAGCAGGTGTGCATGTGTGAGCACATGTGTACATGTGCACATGAGCATGTGTGTCCCCACGGGCACCTGCAGGTGTGCATGTGTATGTGTGAACATCTTCGTGTTGTGTGTGTGTCTGTGAACATGTGTGTGTGCATGTGCGCACATTCATGTCTATGAGTGTGTGCCTGGGCATGTCCTTGTAAGTGTGTGCACACGTGTGCGTGTGAATGTGTGTGCACATGTGTAGCAGTGGAGAGGGCACCGGTGGGAAGAGCCTCCTTCCTGCTCTGGGAGGTTGCTTGTGGTGAGAAGCAGGGTCCTGTGGTCGTCCCTTGCTGTGCCCACTCCTCTAGGCCCAGATCCATGTGAATGTAGCACAGCCCTGTGGGCTGGTGAGCTTCTCATGACCCCGCTTCTCTGGCCACCTCCCTCTCTGCTGAGGGCAGGGCAGAGGAGTTGGAGACCCTGGGACAGGACACTGGCTGGGCCTGGTCCAGGTGCAGGTCTACTGTTGTGGTTGTTCCTGAAGCTGTACTGTGAGCCCACATGGGGCGGAGGTGTCCTAAGACCCGGGAAGTGCCAAACAGCCCCAGGGCCAGGCAACAAGCCAAGTTCCCAAGGAGACAGGCTGGGGGCCTGAGTGGGTGTGTGTCCCCGCCTGCACGGCCCCCAATGCTGCTGTTTTTCAATAAAACCAGAGTTGAAGGAACCTGGCTCTGTGCTTTTGTGAGGTGGCTCCGAGGCTGGTGACGCTGGACTCCGTGCTGCTGGACTCCCTCCCCCATGGCTGGGCTGCCGCTGCCAGCTGACCCGGCCTGGAAGCAGGCCCTGAACATTACCCCTGAGCATGGGAGGTGCAGAGAGGTGACAGCTGGGCTTTGGGTTGGGTGGCCTTCCAAGCAGTCGCCTCCAACCCATCAAACACTTGCCTCAGCTGAGAGGCGGCTTTGCGCCCCCTCCCCTCCCACCCTGGGGAACTACAAGCCACGGGGCCCTGCTGCTGTCCTCTGGCTCTGGGCCGGGATCTGCATACCCTTGGGGTCTTGGCCCTTCTCCTGAGTCGGTAGCTTCCAACAGGTGAGGCCTCCTTGTCCTGGATTCTTCTCAGTCCCAGTGTCCCTGGCAGCCCGTGAGTAGTGCCACCATAGGCCTGGGCCCTGCCTGCTTGCCCTCTTGCTCACCCAGCACCTCTGAGGGACAGTGAGATCTGGATCAGGAGGGTGGGCGCCAAGGCCGTCAAAGTGGGGAGGTGGAGCCCTAGTGTCTATAAGGGAGGGAGATGTCAGGAGGGGCCCCAGGGGGCTCAGGCAGCACTGGGGACCAGGGGTAAAGAGCGGGGTATGGAGGGGCACCAGGGATAGTGGGTGGACACAGACCTATGCTCAGTCAGACCCTAGCACAGGATGCCACCCTGTTGGCAGAGAGACCCTGTAACCTGGAGGGTCCCCAAAACAGATCTCTGAGGCAGCTTTTCATGGGGTTTCCTCCTCTCCTCTTCCCTGGCCCTGCCATGCCCAGCTCCTTGTCCTGGCATGGGAGTCAAGAGGAATCCAACCCTGCACATTCCTTCCCAGGAGGGCAAAACCAGGGTCAGGGGCTGCCCCCATCTCTGCCAGGGCTCAGGTAACACTCTGGGGACATCCAGCTGCACTGCCGGCTGTGGGCCCAGAGGTGTGGGTGGAAGCCGGGCCTTCTGTCCAGAGCCTCAGGTGCTGTCCCCACAGGCTGTCTCCTTGTGCTAGTGCCCACTGGCCTGCAGCCTGCATCTGGAGCAGGCGTCACAGGGCCTGAGTGGACAACCAACAGGGTTGGGCTGTGTCCAGGCCACCCCAGTTTGGGGCCTCAGCCCTGCCTCTGGCTGTGGACATGGCCTTTCCTAGCTATGGGAAGAACTCACTCAGACCAGGAAGATAAGCTTCACACAAAGTGTTTACTCCAGGGGACATCCCAGTCAGCCCAGCCCCAAAGGGTTAAAGGGCCTGTATTCATCCAGGAGCTCAAAGTACTCACTGGTGACCTTGGGAAAGGCCACACAATGGGCTGGTGGAGACCAGTTCCCTCCTCCTCCTGTTGCCCGGGGCTACAGACAAAATGAAGGAGAAAAATGCACAGGCCCAGGAGGTGCCCAGCGACCTGGGCAGCCAGACTGTTGCTGGGAGACTCGGTGTGACTCAGGCTGAGCTAAGAGTCCAGGGCCTCCTGCAGTGGAACCAGGTGTCCCCAGGAACGGCCGGCGCTCAGGCTCACCTTTAGGGGCACCTGTGGGTGGCAATCAGAAGTGAGCTCTGGGCCTGGGCTAGCTAGACGCCTCCCAGGTCCATAAGCAGAATGGAGGGGCCCACACATCCTGGGACACAACCGGACACAGCCATGGCAGCACCCAGCTGTGCACACATGTACATACCTGTGCACATGCACACTCGTCTTCCCAGTAACAGGTCCATACCACACACAGCCCCCTGCCCATGGTGACGCCTTGGCTTTGACAGAGATGTCCCCTAAGTCCTTGGTGCAGCATGCGGCCCAGCCTGTAGGGAGGGCCTCCAGGCAAGGTGCCCTAGGGTGGGCGAGGTGTGTCCTGGGGCAATCTGTGCCCATCACCCCCAGAAATCACCCAGTTGGGTAGGAGCCAGGGGGGCAGCAGACTCTTCATGGGTGGCCCTGATTCTGTGTGGACTCTCTTGCCCAGGGCCCCACCATAGCTACCAGTTGTAGCCCCAGTGGTGCCCCCAGCTTGGTGCTCTAGAAGGGCTCCTTCTGGAAGCCAGGGTGGGGATTTCCCAGCTTCCATTGTCTGGTAGTCCCACTCCTCTGCCTGCCCAGACACAGGCTTCTGTGCATCTACTAGAGGGCATAAGTTCCCTTCCGGCTGGGCAAAGTACCTGGGCTGCTTCTGGGTGCCCTCTCCTCTGAAGAGTGGGGAGAGGGGAGGCCTTGGTGAGTCCCTGAGCTCTGAAGGTGCAGTGGCACATCCTATGGGAGGGGGGGGTTTCCCAGGAGGGTCCCCCAGGGGGCTGCCTGCCAGCAGAGCAGAGGCTGCTCTGGGAGGAGGTCTGGTAAGCCCCTCTACAGCCCGTTCCACTGGGCTGGATCCTCACTAGTGACAGGAATGTCTCTGACCTTACTTGGGAACTCTGTGCAGACTTGGGACCCTGCCCCCGTGTCCTCATTACTACTCCTTCAATTGTCCCCATCACTTTTGGGGAGCCTGCACTACAGTCTTTTCCTGGTGAGGACCCAGAATTGCCTCCAAGTGGTGCCCAAGCAGAAGCAGGCTGATACTAGGTTTGGGCATATTCTATGGACATGCCTGGGGTAGGTGGGGGCCCCCAGCACTTACACCCCCAGTAAGTGTGAGCCTCAGGCAAGAGGTTTGGACACAGGGGTGGTGGAGAGTCCCAGGCTGGGGGGAGCAGCTGACCCTCATCCTGGCTTCTCACCAGGCAACAGCCAACCACCAGCAGGGAAGGGGGCTTCTTGGCAGCAGTCCTGGCATGCAGGGCAAGGGGCCAATCCTCTGTCCTTGCCTTCCTGTGCCATAGTAGCAGTCTGGCACTCCCCCTTCCACTCTGGGCTGATTCTTGACAGTGAGGGACACAGTGGGGAGGCTGGGCAGGGGTGTGCCCTTCTCACCTGCAGTTGCAGCTCCGGGTCCTGAATCTGTTGCAAGGACTCCATGGTTCCCCTGACAAGAGCTAGAACAGGAACGCAGAGCCATTTGAGCCTGCCCAGGCGAGCCCTGGCCAAGCTCCTCACCTCAGGGGCTCCAGAGTCACAGACAGGAAGCTCAGGCTGAGTCCCGCCCAGCACCCCCTCCCCAACTCCCTAATTGTTTCCTGCATCCACAGGGTCACCTCAACTGGCTGGTCTAGGGGCCTTGATCCCCACATGGCTGCTGTGGCTGGTTCATGGCCCAAGATACAGCATGAAGCCCCTCAGTCCTGCCCTCCAGCCCAAAACACTGCTATGCACTGACCTCCACCCTCCCCAATCAGGCTGGCCAGGTGCCGTGCTCCCGACTCCAGCTTTGGCCATGGCTCTGGGGCTGAGAAGAGGCACCAGCTGGTCACTCTTCCCAGCCAGAGGAGCCTGGGCACAGACCATGATCTCTGCTGCTTTTGGGTGAAGTCTTAAGTGACCACCACACCTGTGAGGGCAACTTTGTGGTGCTGGCATTGTGACTAGCCTCCGGGCCTGGGCCACCAGCCGTCCAGACCGTCCCCGCCAGGCAGGTGGACGTCCAGCCTTGGTGTCTGTGGAATGCTCTGGAAGCTCCACTACAGCACTGGATGCCCACCTGGGCTTTTACAGGGTGCCACACCAAGCTGGGCCCCTTCCTGCTAGGGAAAGGGTCCATGGAAGGTCAGACAGAGGACAGGTTTCAAGAGAATGGCAGGTCTCTTTAACTGTGTGAGAGGAAGTACCTCTTGCTCTCCCAGGTTTACCTGCGAACTCGGGGACCTGTGTGTCTTCCACTTCAAACAGCAGCTCATCGTGAATTTGGGCAACCAACCTGGAAGGGGGCAACAGTTACCTGGGTAGCCTAGACACTGCCTTGTGGGGACATGGGCTCATTCTCCAGGATTCAGGGAAGGTTGTCTGGCACTATATGCTCCCAAAGAGGTTGCCCTGTGGCGAGGTGGAGAGGACCCACCCTAGGCACTGTTGCCTGGGGTCACTTTACAGTCACCAGAACAGCTTCCGGGAGCTGGGAGAAGGTGCTGGAAGAGAGGGAGAAGGCTCCATAGAAGTGACCCTGCTGAGCTGTCCAGCCCCTGGCTGAGGACTGGCCCAGATGGAGAAAGTCTTCTCTGGGCTGGGGGTGGAGGCCCTGTCGTGGGTTAAAAGGACAGGTATGGGGCCTGCTGTGAGCAGTGAAGACCCTCAGCAATGGGATGGGGCAATCTTTTAAAATTTTGTTTCTGAAGTCAAATAAATATCCAACAAAATACATCAAAATTCAACGTGCAAAATTTAAAAATCTTTCCAAGTCCCCCCATTACAATGACAGGGGGCATCTGGGGTAGCCTGGCCAGGACTGCACATGCACTTGCCTGGTGACAGCGCCTGTGTGGAGACTCCTGGACAGCCTGGGTGCCTCTCAGCTCCACAGCCTGACTGATGGACCCTGAGCCCTCCAGCTGTGCAGGACGGGGTGTCCCTTCCCAGCAGCCTGAGCAGGGCTGCACTCTCCACCACAGGCCACGCTCCAGGGCAGCTTCAGCCCAAACCTCCTCAGCCCTCCCTGCATCAGTATGGACAGGAAGCCAGGACAGGCCTGGCAGGGGTTGGGGGTGATGAACTGCTAGGCAGTGGTCTCTGGCAGGTTTTACAGATTCAAGTGGAGAGAAGGGACAGGAGCAAGAGTGCACAGGGCAAGGGGTGGAGTGGTCCTGTCCAAGCAGCTGGCTCCTACAGCTCCATGTTGGTTCAAAAACTGCACTAACTTCTGTAACCCTGCATGCTCTTTGGAGGGCAGCACTGGTTGGCTTATGCTCCTCTGCAGACAGCTTCAGAATCCTCTGGGACATGATCCTCACAGCCCAGAGCTGTGGCACACAGACTCAGTGCAACACCCTCCTGTGGATGGACAGTGGTGTCTGGATCTGCCCACTCAAGGAAGGGGCAATGGTAGAGGTGACTCAGGACAATCAGTGAGGGCCTGAAGCCCCACGGGAATGATGGGAGGCACATGGGGCCCCAGTGTTCTGCCTTTTACAGCCTCAGCTTTCTCCTGGTGTGAACCCTGAGCGACAGTGATCCCTTCCCATCCTGCCTCCCCTGCTGCCTGTGCTGCACCCCCATGTGGTACTGGAAAGTTGGGGCTGCACAGGGGAGCTGTATGAAGCCCTGCTGGGCAGCAGTCACAGGCATGTGGTGGTGAATGCTGGCTGGGAGGAGGAGCAACTCTCTAAGATCTGGGCAGGGGGGCTCTATCAGCACTCTGCAGCAGAGACTGTGGTGGCCGCCTCATTCTTTTCTCCTCTCTCTGCTGTTGGGTGGGTGGAGATGGAGCCGTCTTCCCAAGCTCTCCCTTAGATGCAGTGTGCCAAGAACTTCTAGGAAGGCCCTGAAAGGGCTGCCTAAGCTCTTTTGGTCATCACTTTCTCCTCTGGCCTGGAAAGTGTTGTGGTGGTCAGAGCAGCTACCTCCATTGTGGCACCAAGAGGAAAGAAACTAGTAGCCAGAGGACCTTTAGTCCTGCTGTCCTGAGCTTCTGAAACAATCAGCAACCACTGTGTCCTGGATTCTCATTATGGGAGAAAAAGTCAAGTTGGGAAGTCTGAGCTGCTGTAGCTGTGCCACTTTCCTGAGGGCCAAGCACACGTCCTCATAGTTGAGCATCTGCAGACTCACACTGGGCTGGGCCATGCCAATACTGGGTGCACACTTTGCAGGGCACCCTCAGCGAGGTGCACCTGCATTTTTTCATGCAGCCTCTGGTCAGAGCATGGACTCTGCCTTTCCAGGAGTCATACTGGCAGTACACGGTAGGGACCATGAGTCTGCCAGGGTCTTTGGCTCCCTGGGGCTTACTTTTCAAACTGGCAGAAACCTCAGAAGAGGTGCTTGTGAATCTTTCCAGATTTGGCAGAAAGTTTCACACTTTTTGAAATCACATGGTGAGATCTGAGCTGCTGGTCTGGCAGGACCTAAGAATAGGTGCGGTTGTCAGTCACTCACACATCACCCTCACAGCATGGGATGGAGACACTGCTGCGTTTCTAACTGGAAACTGGGGCACAGGAGTCAGCAGAATGTGTGGCTCAGGGTGGATGAGGAGCAGAGGAACACAGGCTCAGACCTCCCGTGCACGGGGTCAGGGGAGAGCGCTGCCTTTGAGAGAAGGTAGGGCTGCTGCATCTGCATCTGGACAGCCTGTCTGAGGCCAACAGACCCAGGCTCCCTCAGGGAATATTCCAGAGGGCCCCACCTCATGTCCCTGTCCCAGGCTTGAGAGGCAGCTCCCTTCCAAGGGGCATGCCTAGCGGCACTGAGCCCCCTTGCGGGTTCCTCCTGAGAATACACCTGTGTGGTGCCCCTGCTCGAATCCACCTCCAAGGAGGCACGGGGGACCTGGTGCTGGCTTAGCTCTGGTGAACTGGGATGAGTCACATCCTGCTGTGCCTTCATTCCCCCTTTTCCACATTTAGTTAAAGCCAGTGGCAGTTAAACCCCTAATGACCTGTGCTCAGCTTGCAGGAGGTCCTATCACCAAAGATGCCAAGTCTTCACATGACAACTTCTTCTACCAATTCTACATGCAGCAAAAACAAGACCATGTTTCTAGTCTTCCTCAATGGTGGAAAACCACTGCAGGTCACTCACACCTCTGAGAAGCTGGAGTCCACCCTGAGAGACTTTGGGAGTGGGCAGGACTTCCACATCCCAGCAGAGGAAGAACTACAGGAAACCCAGAGGAAAACCTTGGCTGGTATGTGCTTGCTGGGGAGGCAGCAGATGGCGGCGAGAGGCAATGAGATGTGAGGTGGGGCAATATCTGCTCACTCTGCTTCCACCCGTTGACCACCCCAATCACTGCAGGAGTCAGCACCGTCCAGTCAGCGTGGGAGTCAGCAGGGTCATGGGGAGGTCAGCTGGGATCTCAGGCACCCTTGTCTTCCTGGCAGCCCTCCTTCATGACTCCTCCCCAGCGAAGAAGTGTCAGTGCAGGGCTGCAAAGGGGAGTAGCCAGCAGGGTCTGGGGACAGGCTCCTGCCCTCAACTCTGTGGGGTGCCACCCCACAGTATCCTCTCCTATGTGAAGTTGCTGAAATCAGCAAAATAACACTGGCTCAAAAGTCAAAATGAGCAAAGAAAGTATCTGAAGTAATAAAGGAGACAGGTTTTTAAAGAAAGATGAAAGATCTCGGATACAGAAGAAGTCATTCTTTAGCACATAAAATAACATTAGAAGCCAAGAGAAAACTGAGCTTGGGTAGAAACGGAAGGCCACTGTAAGCAGCTCTCTACATCCCAGAGGTGGGGTGCGTGGGGCTGCAGAGTGCAGGCTGCTGAGACCAGTTCACATTTTATGATCTAGAGAAGCAGCTGCCCACCCTGCCACTGGCTCCCCTCCCAGCAGAGGAGGCATGACCCACCTGGGCAGCCACAGTCGCACTCTGGCCTGCTGAGGCCACCCCACATGACCAGAGTGGATAGCCTAGGTCTTTAGGGTGGGCATGTAAAGTGAATCCCTTCTGGGATCTGACACCACCACCCCTCTGAGGGGCTGATGTGGCTTAGTCATCTGAAGGGGTTCAGGGATTCTTGAGGGGAATCCACTTTCCACAAAGAGAGGGGATGTCTGGGTGGTCACCTGTAGCCACGTTCAGGCTTCAGTTGCCAGGGGGAGGCAGCTGGGGTGACAGTTCCTTATCCTCCTGCCACTTCAAAACTCAGGGCAGAGACAGACCTGAGAGAGTCATGGCTGGGGTGACTGTAATAGACCTGCCATTGAGGTGCACCTGAGCATGGGTTCTGGGCAAGCATAGCATCCCCATGGTCTGCTGTGGGACTGTGACCTGCCGGGATGTGGGAAGGGGCAGCTGCAGATGGGGCCTTCAGGTTGTGCCTCCCTTCAGGCCCTGAGTAGGGACTGAGGAGAGCACTTCTGCTTGATGCTGCTGGGCCCCAGCCACTAGAGGCCAGGCTATGAGTCTCGAGGGCTCGGGTCAAGGGGTCCTTTGCTCTGTGGTAGGTGGGCAGCCAGAATGGAGGTCCCACAGGTGGAGCAGGTATGGGGGTCTTGCCTAGAACAGCCACTTCCCATCCAAACCCTGGGAAAGGCTGGCTAGCATGTAGCCTGACTGTCTTCACTGACCTGGCCGTCAGGGTGGGGGAAGTGGCCACTGCAGAGAAGATGCGGATCATGGCCATCTTACAGAGGTCTGCAGCAGAGCCTGTGGACACAAAGAGTTCTGTTTCAGGGCCCTGAGGAATGCGGGCAGCCAGTGTGGAGTCCAGTGGCACAGCACTCCGTCACCTCTGCAGGGTGCTGCTCTTCTAGCTACCTGAATGCTCTGGCTAAAGAGGAAAGTGTTTCTGCAACTGGAGGCAAATAACATGTCCTCACTCCTCAGCTCCTTCTCCCTGTTCAGCATGGGGGTGTGGCTTTCGGGAGGCCTTGTTCCAGAGCCTGACCCTTGCCAGGCACTCGGGGGTCTGGCAGAGGGATCCCAGGGACTGGGTACAGCCTTTCTGCCTTGATGCTCCTTGACTGGGTTTCCCACTTGTAGGTATGGGGGACAGTGGAGCTGGAGGGAAGAATCCTAATTATAAAGATGACCCTGTGACAGTCATGCCACTGACAGTACTGCCAGACCACCAGGTGGGGCTATGGGGTTCCTCAGGAGGGTTTCCAGGAGCAGTGCACCATGGTAGTCTGGAGGGTGCTGCCTGGCTCTGCAGCCTCCACATGCCCAAGGGACAGGGGTGCTGAGACAGGGCACAGGAGAGGTGGGCAGCAGTCGGCTGGGCTCCAGTACCTTGCACCATGAAGTTTACTGCCTGTCGTTCTGCTTGTGCCCGGAGCTGATGGTCCCGTGCATGGATCCTGGGCAGAGGCCTCCTTCTGCCCATGATGGATGCCACATAGCCTGGTTATAGAAAAAAGCAGGTGAGAGACAGTAGCAAACAGCCATGCAGTCCTGGTAGGCAAAAGCCCTGTCTTGGGCTAACTCTGGCTTCCCCAAGGCACTTGGCATGTGGTTTCATGATAGGAGCATGAGGACTGCCAAGGGACAGCCCTGTGGCAGGTGGCATGCTTCTCTACTCTTACTGGTCTCCAGGGTACCTTGTCCGACACAAGACAGGGACTGTGGAAATCATTCAGACACATGTGGGCCTGGGCCCTGCAGTCCCTGGACTGTGTGGTCATAGCAGGGTAGAGAGAGGAGGCCAGGGTTTGAGTCAGAGTCCACACCCCACATTAGGTAGACCCACATCCTCTCGGGTCTGACACTTAACATGATTTGGGAGCGCTCAAGAGAATGAGCATCAACAAGCTGTGCTGGGTGAGTAGGTACTTGACCAGTGAGGACTTCTGTTTTAACTGGATGTGGGTGACAAACAAATCCTCCACTTGTGAGAGTTCATAGGTCTGAGGAATGAAAGAATTCCCCACAAATACAATAATCATAACTTGGTTTTGGTGCTGGGGATCGAACCCAGGGCATGCTCGGTAAGTGCTGTACCACCGAGCCACATCCCCACCCCCAATACCATCATCATAAAGTGGCAAGGTACTGAGCACCCACACTATGCCAGGTGATAAGTGAAGTCTCTTTACAGCAACTGGCAGTCAGGACTGGGGAGTGCACTTTCAACCTGGCTCAGCACTCCTTCACCTCTGCAGAGTGCTGCTCTTCTGAGCTACCTGAATGCCCTGGCTAACGAGGAAGGAGTTTCTGCAACTGGAGGCAAATAACATGTCCTTGCTCCTCAGCTGCCTCTCTCTGTTCAGTGCTGGGGTGTGGCTTTCGGGAGGCCTTGTTCCAGAGCCTGACCCCTGCCAAGCACTTGGGGGTCTGGCAGAGGAGTCCCAGGGACTGGGTACAGCCTTTCTGCCTTGATGCTCCTTGATGAAGTTTCCCACTTGCAGGTATGGGGGACAGCTTTGCATGCCTGTGGTTTCTGACCAAAAGCTGGATGTGGAGTTGATGCCCTTGTTCAAGAGTTTCCTGGCAGGCTTGAGTTGCTTGTAGATCCATTGGTTGTCTAAGGTCTGATTTTAAGCTTTGCTGGGTGGGTGAGTGGCCTCTCCATTAGGGCTCATTAAGATCTCCTGTTAAGTGTGGCCCTTTTGAGGTCTCTATTGAATGTTTCATGTATCCAGTATCCATTCTGGAAGGTCAGAATTCAAGACATCCCCATCCCAGCAGAGTCTCTGCTTGGGTCCCCTCCCATACTGTGGTCTTGCCTCTAGATGAGGCACTCACAGGACACACCTCATTTGTCTCTTCTCTAAGCAACCAAAGCAATATGCTGCCCACTGTTGGATATCTGGAAACTGTTGGTTCAGGTACTTCACCTAGTTTTCTAGTTGTTTTGGTGACTCCTTGTGGTCCAAAGTGGACGTCTCCTGATTTCACATACTTCATACCTTGTTTCTCCCCCAGCTGTGGTTTTTGGTACTGGCGATCATAGTTTCTGTTTGCATCTCAAGAGCCCTGGCCCTGCCCCTTCATGTTGGTACTCAGAGTGGAAGCAATGCTCTTGGAAGCCATCCCCATGTCAAAACAGCTGGCTTCCCTCCACTGCATAGGAAGGAGCAGGGAGCCTTGGAAATAGCAGCACTGGGGTCCAAATGAAAGGAAGTTCCTTCTCCAACTGCCTTCTATCTAGGTTCCAAAAATAGCTGCAGTCCCTCCAAGGTCACCTGGCATGAGAAGAAGACAGACAGAGGAACCTAGGGCTGAAGGGGGCAGAAGTCTTAGTCAAAAAGCAGTTGAGGAGAGTAATCATGCATGCCCGGAGGAGGACAGTGATAGATCCCAATCTACCAACATGTGGCTTTCCTGGCCCACTTCCATATAGAGACAACAGCCAGGACCTGGAAGACTATCACCAAGGTCCCTGCAGGCTTGGTTACACCAGAGGTATCCCTGCTAGCCTGTTTCTCTTGATTCCTCTTTCACTCTTCCCATGACTTCATACCTCCATGTTCTCACCTCTTACTTCATAAACCCCACATCCCTACACCCTGCTCTCTCTCTTTGTCTACCATTAGAAATTGGAGACCTTATGCAAACCTACTATTTTATCATAGATATTAATTGAACACATTTATGTTTATTGCTACAAAACTATACTTGTCTAAATAGGAGGTATTTGATTTAAGGCTTCACATTGTTTGCACTGGGTGCTGTAAATATTGATCTCCCACTTAAAGGCGAGGTATTGGTAACCTGCAGAGACACTACAAAATTATAGGGTAAAAATTCTAATACCTCAGATCCACAATGACACATTGACAACATAAAAATCAAGGGAAGAAAGTGCCCCAAACAAACCAAGATGCTGCAATAATAGAATCCATTGACAGCACATAGATGAAATGTCAGAGAAGGCGTTCACAATGTACAAAATTGAAATGATCATCAAAGCCCAGAATGGTATAAGAGAGCCAATACAGGCAAAAACTGATCACTCTAAAAAGGGATAAGAGAGTAAATGCAGGTAGCAAAAAATTACTTCAAGAAAAAGAGATTCTGAAAAAAAAAAACACATATAAAAATCCTTGAAATGAGGAAACAATAAACCAAATAAAAAATTCAATAAAAAGAACCACCAACAGACGAGAGCACTTGGAAGACAAAACCTCAGGCAATGAAGACAAAATATATAATCTTTTTAAAAATTATTCTTATGTATATTTTTGGTTGTTAATGAACCTTTGTTTTATTCATTTATTTACATGTGGTGCTGAGAATCAAATCTAGTGCGTTACACATGCTAGGCAAGTGCTCTACCAAGAAGCCACAAATCCATCAGCAAAACATACAATCTTAAAATAAAGTTGACCATACAATGAAGATGGTAAGAAACAGATTTCCAAGAATTATGGGATAACATAAAAAGACAAAATCTAAGAATTATTGAGATAGAGGAGGCACTGAGATATAAACCAAAGGAATGCACAATATCTTCAATGAAATAATATTAGAAAATTTCCCAAACATGGATAATCAAACACAAGAGGCTTATAGGACCCCAAATGTACAAAATTACAACAGATCCACACCAAGGCACATTATAATGAAATGCCTAGCATACAGAATAAGGATAGAATTTTAAAAGCCACAAGAGAAAAGTTTCAGATTACATATGGGGGAAACCAATTCCTATCTCAGCAGATTTTTCAACCCAGACTCTCAAAGCTAGGA